ATAGGACAGTTCCTCTTACAAGGTTTAGGATAATAAGAGAGTTAAATATGGGAGCAGGGAAGCCTGTGTGCGCACCCAAATGCAAAGTGAATCACTATCGCAGTTTCCCACTGTGGATTATTTCACACTGCTGGGCTGAAAACGGAAGGCTTCATTTAAGAGCTGCCATGAGTCAAAGTGGTCCAACAAGGAATTCCCGGCTGCAGATGACACTTCAGTCTTGGCATTCAGGTGGAAGCATTTGGTAAGTGAAAACATTCCTAAATGATGTCCTGAAAGGTCACAAGGAAAAGAGCAATACTTGTGGAAATCAGAGACCACTAGAACTCAGTCAGATTCATCTGGATCAGAAAAGAGTAGACCATATAAGGAGATAGAAGCAATGGCAAACTGATAGTAAATTCTACTAGGTTCCAGTGAGTTATTTGGGACATAAATTAAGACTAATTGTACCACTTCCATGTACACTTCAAACCCTAAGTTTAAAAAAACCCCACAAAAACACAAAAAAACAACACACAGAAGCCTGTAATTTCCACTAATGGACAGATTTTCAAGCTTCCTAGATGATCTCCAGTTTTTGCTTCTGAAGACTTAGCAGGTCACTTCTTTCCACCCAAAGCCTTAACTACATACATGCAAACACATCCCGAATTTATTTTTATTTTTAAAAAATATATTTTATTGATTTTTACAGAGAGGAAGGGAGAGGGATAGAGAGTTAGAAACATCGATGAGAGAGAAACATCATCCATCAGCTGCCTCCCACACATCCCCTACTGAGGATGTGCCCGCAACCAAGGTACATGCCCTTGACTGGAATAGAACCTGGGACCCCTCAGTCCGCAGGCCGACGCTCTATCCACTAAGCCAAAGCAGTCAGGGCCATCCCGAATTTATTATTTCCAGTCTTAACATTTTCTCTGAGCTGGTCTACTACTTACGATTGCTAACTGTCAAGTCTGATGTGAATATATATATATATATATATATAACAGCATCTCAAAAACTTAATACATAGTCTATTCCAAACCTGTTCCATCCAAGTCAACTCCATCCCAAGTAGCTAGTATCATCCCACCATCCGTACCTTTCAAATAAAAAAAAAAATCTACGAGCCTCACTTGATGCCTTACTGTCCTTCAGACCTCAGGCCCTCCACATCTCCAATCAATCACAAAGCCCTATCGGTTCCCTGCCAAATACATCTGGAACTTGTCCACTTCTCACTATGTCCACTACTACCATCCTAACTCCAAGCCATCATCATCACTGCTCACCCGCTAACTGTTCTCCCTGTTTTCTGCCCACCCTTGCCTGTCCAAGTCATTCTCCACCAAGGAACCAGAATGATCTTTTTAAAAAACATCACTCCCCTGCTCAAAATCCTCCAGTCCTTTCCAGTCATAGTTAACAACAAGTAAAAGTACAAAGATCACAGAACTGGGAGTTCTAGCTCTGGCTCTGCTACTAACTATAAAATTTAGCAAAATGAAGTGGCCTCACCCTCCTGGGCCTTATTTGCAAAATGAAAGGGCTGTAGTTTTATCTTTACAATTCTAATAGTCTAAGTCCAGTATACAACTTAATATACGTACCTCAGCTTATTCCATTTCTCCCTTTCAATAAATGCTTATTTCATAAGTCCCATCTCTCTCAGCACTCCCTCCCTTCCAGGGTCCAGACTCACGAACACTCACACAGGAATGCCGTGGTTTTCTCTGACTTTCCTTTGTTACCTTTAGGCAGAAAAGGAAAATACAAAGGGATCTCAACCTTCCACACGGGCAGGGCCATGTCTGATGTGCAACTCTCCGGCTGGGAGTGACCCGCATGAGATCAGCCAGGACTTGGCTTTGCCCTCAGACGGGTCATGTTAAGCTGCTCTACATCTTCCAGTTGACACAAAACTAAAACTGACACACCCAGAGAGAACCGAGTGCAGACTCCTGCAGGCCAGGCCTCTATGTAGTCAGAATACTGACCTTTCGATAATTTTTTTCCTCTAGGATTTTAGGAAAGATTAAGTTTTAAATGTAAGAATGACTTATCCCAGAAAAGAACCATTTTTTAGGAAAACCAACTAAAATATACAAACCAAGTACTCCCCAAGAAGTGAAAGGACAGAAAGTAGTGTAAAGCAGTGGAGAGAACCGCACTCATGTGGCTTGCGCCTGAAGGCACACCAAAGAGACCAGCTGACTTTTCCATTTTGGTTCACTTTTTAAAATACTGTTTCAAGAAAGCAGTGGGGAAGGGAGAGCAGTGAAGCAAACCACAAAACCCTCCCGTTCAGAAAACGGAGAAAGAAAACCTCCTCTGACTTGCCTTGGGACAAACTAAGCAAATAAAGAAAAACCACTTAGTTACCCAGCCCCTCTTCACAGCTCTACCAGCAGTCAGCTTCCTCTTCTGCCTCTCATTCTCTGTCCTTGGGTCCCAATCTCACAAATAGTCCAGGATAGTGCTAATATTCTGGTTCTATATTCAGAGTTCACTGGCTTTGTGTTTAACTCCCTGCTTTTTGTCCCCCATCTTTATGCTTTCCTTGGAGTCACCAGAATAGTAAATTTGAGATTTTAAATTCAACCTACATTTTCTTAAAAATATAAAAATATATCTTTAACTGGGTGTGTGAACAAAAAATTAATGCGAAGTATGTGAAATGTGAGATCTCAGTTTAAAAAGCTAAATCAAATCCAAAACCTAGCCAGAAAAGTACGAATATCCCTGCATCACAGATTTAATTCCCTTTCATTCAAGCTCTTGGCTCCCAATTCTCCTCACAAAGGACATCCTGAGTCCTCCATCTGCCTGAGCCCTCAGTTTCACCACCACCCCACCACCCCCAAATCAGCACTGCCTAAGGCCTCCCAGGGTGCTGGCACTGTAGCTGCCACTGACAGGAGAACCCTGAGCAGAAACCAGAGAGAGCAGTGGGATTAAAATGAATGCTGACTGCAAACACAGGCCAAAGATGAAAAGTTTCTATTTACTCAATTGTTGATAGCAGGTGCACTGTGCCAAAAATCCCCATTTTCCAATCACCAAACTATGGAGGGTTTTGTTCAAATGTCCACTCAGAAAATATGAAGACCCATCTAACATAGTCCCAGATTTGAAATTATGTATGAAGTAAGACCTTGGAGAAAACTCAACTCGGCTTATCTTTTTTTTAACCAAGAAAGCAGGACAGAAACTAGGATCCTCTTTCCTGAAAGGCTGCTGGGAAGCCTACTGCTGAATTTACAGGGGTTGCTGTTTTGAGGCCGACACCTGAAACTTGCTCCAGCACCTCGTAGCAGAGAGTTTGTACTCAGTTGTACTCTAATTGTCTCCTGGGCAGAGACCAGTACTTTTTTGCATCCTACCCTGCACTTAAGCATATGGTTGGGCATTTGGTGGGCAATGCAAATATTTGCTATTTTATCTTAAAATTGTTTTAAAGCAATTTTCAGTTGCTTAGGTTTTTTTGGTGTGTTTTTTTTTAAAAGAATGAATGTTAAATTGTCCCCTTATGTGTGTGTTTAACTAGGAAAATAGAACAGATCCTATTTGACAAATAAAAGAAAGCAAATCCCATTAAGTTATTTACTGTCTTAATTATAAGGCAGGCTGACTGGCCCTCCTTTTGAGGACGGAGGACCTCGGTTTATCCTTCCCTGCCTTCATTCTGGCTCCCTTCACCTAAATCCCATCATAGCACAAAACTGTGCAATAAATGGCTCATTCTGGTGAATCTTTGTACGTTGGAGTTAAAGGCAGGGTTCTGTCAACTTGGTCATTTCTACCATTTGCTTTATTCACCCCTTTCTCCTTTTCCCTCAGCCACCAAACAAGTCCCATTTTGAAGATGTCTGGAGACACCAGAGCTTAAGAGAAGACTGCAGACAGAACCCTAACCTATTCTAAACCAAGAACAGCTTTTTCTCCTTAAAGATAAGGGTTATCTTTCCAGTTAAGGATCCTGGAATCTGCTTTTTTTTAACCTTGAGGAATTTTACCTTCCAGCACTATGTAAGACTGCCATCTAGGTGCGTGCTCTGAGCAATCGATATGCATATTGCAATATCTATCCAACAGATGTAACAAAACCACAGACTTTAACAGATAAACTTAAAAAATTGACTTCAAACATTTACTTGACTCTACTGATCGGGATTTTGGAGTCACTAGCACTAATTTAGAATTTCAGTGATAGGATGTGTTCTCTGACTCACCTCATTCAAACACAATGCTGCCATTTACCAGGGGGGGGGGCAGGAAGGAGAACTGTTCCTTTGTTTAAAAAGGTACAGTATTTTGGTTACTTGAAAAAGCCATAGTTGAAAAACATTCTGTTTATATTTGCAACTCACTCTAATGTCACCACACACACCCTCTTCTTTCTTAGGTGGTAAATATAATATATTAGAACAAAACTTTAGTTTCAAAGTTTCTTAACAATTTACAAGGAACAAACCTTTAAAAAGTAATGCTTTGCCTTCAACATTTTGGCCTTGTTTTGACTTTTTTAATGGTTTTGACCTCAAGAAAAACTAACTGGGGCTGAAGAAACAAAAAATTTATTTTCTTTACAGTGCTAAAGAAGCCAATATTCCCTGAAACAAACAAACAAAAAAACAAACAAAAGCAACACAGCCCAAATCATTCTATGAAGTTTTCATATTAGAAATGTCCTCTACATTATTGGGTTATACAGGTGTACACACTTTTCAAAACACAGCGAACCGCACTCTTACGATCTCTATATTTTACTGCATGTAAATTGTGGCTCAATAAAAAGATTTTTTTTTTAATCTCTCTGCAAATCACATTTCAGTATCTGCCAATCAGTATTCCATCTCAGACCTAAATTTCTGGTAGGTCAACAATATCCTAAGGGCAAAAAGGAATTTCCTCACTCAAAAGCTACTGACACCCTGCCCCCAACTCTCCAGAACTTCCATCTAAAACCTCTCTTCAGAGGGGAAGTAGCCCAGATATGAAATTCCACTCACCTCAACTGACTGAGAAGGCATTTTCAGCTTGGTGAGCTTAGCTTTGGCAGGCACTTTTAAGTCGGTTTTTTCAAAGGTCTGTTGCCGGTAATCCTCCGGCAGTGGTTTCAGTTCGGGAGACTCACTAGGAGCCTGATCTTGACCGTCCATGGGCCGGACATAAGCTGTGGGCTTCTGCTGCATTGCAACGCTCTTTGAGGGGAGGGAGGGTGGGGGGAAAGACTGAGAAGGTGGCTGGGGAGGGGCCACTCCAAGGCTGGAGACGGCCACCAAACTGTCCTTAGGGGTCTCTTTGTCTCGGATCTTTACTGCCAGGTCCTTGGGAGATTTGGCGTGGCAGTAGCCCTTATTGTTGTTGTTGTTGTTACTGCTGTGAACCTTGCTGCTTCCTTGTGACCTGGGAAGAGTTTGCTGGTTGGAATGTAGAGGTGACAAAGGGGGCAATGGAGAAGGTAAAGAGGAGAGTAGGGGAGAAAGCTCCCTCTCTGGAGCTGAGTCTGCCGTCGAAGCACAGTGGTCTCCTTCGGCTCTGCGGTCACCGTTTTTTCGATGACTAGAGCTGTACCCCTCCTGACCAAGGCGATCCTGGGCCAGGTGCTGGCTGTCCGGGGCGCCATAGCTTTTCACATGAAGACTTGGCATTGGTTCCATTCTTGGCTGTGTCACCTTTTGATTGTGGCTCATGTTACCAACAGGAAGTGGTCCAGAGGCAGGAGTGCTACCAGGCTGGTGATGGACACGGGTGTGGAAGGAGTGCGGTGGAACGCCGCTCCCCTTCTCAGGAAACAAAGGGTATCTCGGCTTTCCCGGCCTACTTTCAGAAGCATCCAAGTGATGAGCGAGAGACTTGGTACTGAGTAACTCCTTTACTTCTTCATAGTTTCCCAGCATGTTCTGTATTCGACTGGATAGCTCATCGCCTTTTTCTGTCTGAAAAAAAGAAAACAGCAAAGTTAGATACTGGTGGGAAATAAATCTAAGAAAACCCAACATTTAATAAGCCATGCTACATAATGCCATTAAAAAAGAAATGCCTCCATTTAATGTGTAACATAGAATTTAACGTGCAATGTAAACTAACTCCTTGTTGAGAAGCCTGTCGTGGACAAATATTACTACATACAGAAGACTAACATTACAAAAGAAAACCACAAACTTGGGCAATTTTGACTCACAAGGTTCAGGGAATTTTCTATTTGTTTTCAGAAACAATCCCTAGGATAAGTTGTCTTATTTTCACAGGCATGGCCCTTGTTCAATCTTCCTTTCATCACAGAGTTAAATATGATGATAAATCAGACTTTCTAGCACACAATAAATACCTTGTAGGGCTCTCCAAAAAGGGGAATCTTTTCAGAAAATGCCTCTTTCTCTTGGTGAGCTTCCTGGTTGCGTCTTTCCTTCTCTCTAATTCGAAGCAGGTTTCTGTCTTCATTGTACAAGCTGTTTCAGATGCCACAAAAGAACAAAAACAGTAAAATTTACCAGTATCCGCGTTGTGCTATGCATATGTACATGTTTGAGGGAGGCAAGCTAAGTCAAGAAGAAGCAATGACAGGCAAGATGATGTAAAGAAAGCATAAGTCTCTCCTGGACTAAGGCTCAGTAACGGGCTGTGGCCCTCCAGCCTCAGTTCTGGCTCCAGAAACCTAAGCATTCACTCTGGGCGACTGCCTTCGTGGCTCAGGACTGACTCCAAACCAGAGTCTTTTATAGGCAGTGGTGGAGCTGGGACAAGATTAATGATATTTTTACTTTCAGCTTGCAAACTAAGGCATAGAGGTGGAAGCTTTTCATCTGAAAGAATCAGCAGGATGTGAACTTTAAAAAAGCTATTTTCCTGGATCAGTATTGCACATTTGGGAAGATTAAAATCAAAAGGCTCATTTCATAATTAAAAGATTACCAGGCACCCAATACAGCATTTACTTTATTCTCAGCCTATTCTACTGGGAGTGTCCTGGTATGTAAACTCGAGATCATTTTTATTTCTCATTTCAAATGCCAAGCATGGGAAAATGCAATTTTAGATGTAAACTCTACCTACTGAGAAGTCTTATCATCCAATTGCCCTACTTAAACCACATAAAAATGGACCCTAAGTCATGAGCCCTGGCACCAAAAATGTTCAAATGCTTTCTCTAACAAGCAAAACACAGAGATGGAAAGAAAAAAGTGTAGTTTTAGCTAGCATCCAAACCAAAAGTGGGCCTGCCCCATGTCAGCAACACAAGCTACTCCTGCCAACCCACACATGTGCGATATGAGAACAATGAAAATAAGAACAACTTTGCTTCTAAGTATCTACTGAATCTTTTCCCCCAACATTACTTGAATAAATAAGTAGGAAAATATTCTGTTGTCTTGTCAATATATGTACCTTTAGCAATTCTAGCCGTGATGTCAGACACGCTCCCTGACCCTACTGATATATCCTGGTCTCTCTGCTCTCTCATAACTTGACTTATTTCCTCTGACAAGAGCCTACTTACTGGTCTCCCTGCGTCTTTCACATCTTGTCCCTCTAATTTAGCCTTGTCTCATGGAAAGAAATCCCATAGACGGCCCTGGTTCTCGTGTCACTATCCAAATTTAAAAATAATAAACATTTGATGGCTCTTTACTACTGCAGAATAAACTATTATTTTTTATTTATTATTTTAGAGAGAAAGGGAGGGGGAGAGAGAAAACATCAATTTATTATTCCACTTTTTTATGCATTAATTGATTGATTCTTGTATGTGCAATCTTGGTGTATCAGGATGATGCTCCAACCAAGTGAGCTACCCGACCAGGGTAGAATAAACTCTAAATCCTTACTTTGGCATGAAAATTCCCCCACAGTCTAGTACAGATCTACTCTAGAAATTATCCCACTCTCTCATAGCAGGTCTGCCACATGCACCCCACTTGACAGTATTCCCCAAACATACCCTATAAAGATGAGCCTCTTGCTCTAATCTCTACCCCAAAACCCCCTTTTACTGAAAGATCACCGATTCTTCCAGGACCAGCTTAGCTAGAAATTAATGATTCTCCTGCAAACCACCTCTATATTCCAGTCACACCAACCGATGCCCTGGCTCCTCAGTAACATCCTGAACTTCGATGCTTTCTAACTACACACATTTCCTCTGCCTCTCTCAACTGTGCACCCACATTCCCAATTTTCAGCTACCAGAAAAATCTCTGGAGTGATTCCAATGTCACCAACTCTAAAGGCTTCCCCAAATCCACTGAGTATTTTTTTTAATATTCACCCTGGCCCTGGCCAGTGTTTCCCAGTGGATAGAGCATCAGCCCTCACATGGAAGGATCTCAGGTCCGATTCCCTGTCTAGGGCATGTACCTGAGTTGCAGGTTTGAACTCTGCCCCTGTCAGGGGGGTGTGCGGAAGGCAACCAATCTATGTGTCTCTCTCATATCAATATTTCTCTTTCTCTTCCCCTGCCTCCCTCCCTCCCTTCCATTTTCTCTAAAAATCAATGGAAAAAATATCCTTGGGTGAGGACTAACAAAACAAAACAAAATTCACTCTGGAAGACAATCTGAAGGTATAGGGAGAAGCTAAACTACCTGGTTGAATTCACCGGTGTGTGGTAAATAATTATCTGCTTAAAAAATTGAATCAAAAACTTTGCCTAGCCCTGAGCAGTATGGCTCAGTTGGTTGGAGTGGCATCCGTTGGAGGAGGGTTCAATCCTTGGTCGGAGTGCATATGGAAAGTAACAAATTGATGTTTCTCTCACATTGATGTTTTTCTTTCTCCCCTTCTCTCTAAAATCAATTAGGGGGGAAAAAAGGGGGGGGCACACAAAAAACTTTGCCTAGAATCTAGATGATGGATAGCTTAATATAAGATTTTAAGAAAACTCTTAAAACTATAGTGAACAACATAGTGAAAAGGTCAGGAGAAATTCAACCAGAAACTGGCTACAGAGACTAGTCTTTAATAGTCAGAAATCTCACGTGCTTCACACAGACTTGCTTCTGGGGGATAACAGCACAATGGGCATGATGACCATTCAAGAATTCCTTACAATTATTTTATGATTTTGGTAATTACTCTTGTTGGCTCAACAATTATGTAACATTAACACACAACCATGGCAGCCAAGTTAAGAGGGCTGATCAGGAAATAACTTCTTTTTTTCCTTCAAACTTGCTTTTCTGCCTATTTGTTTGCAGGGCGGGGTGGGGCATGAAACTACTTCTGAGCAACCTGAACTCCAAGCTTCTTTCCCAAAGCTACCTGTACGTAGACCAGATCCCAAGGAATCCGCTTTGCCCCTCTTTCCTGATTATGCTGGTTACAACAGTGTAGTCCAGTGATGGCGAACCTTTTGAGCTCGGCGTGTCAGCATTTTGAAAAACCCTAACTTAACTCTGGTGCCGTGTCACATATAGAAATTTTTTTATATTTGCAACCATAGTAAAACAAAGACTTATATTTTTTATATTTATTTTATATATTTAAATGCCATTTAACAAAGAAAAATCAACCAAAAAAATGAGTTCGTGTGTCACCTCTGACACGCGTGTCATAGGTTCGCCATCACTGGTGTAGTCCTTGAAGCTTTATTCACTTGTGAGTGTTTATAGAGTTTGGTTCTGCTTTATAAGTAGAGTTTTTCCCATGTCTTGAGAAACCGCTACTTATGTCTCAGAAAAGGGAACCCCAAATGGCAAAATTCTCAGTTCCAGATTGAAAAGTGAGTACCTCATCTATTAGGCTACTTGGGTTCCTCAATTAATTTTCTTGTCACGTCCACACACATCTTTAAGAAAAGCTACATTGATTTAAAATTACTAAACTATTTCTAAATCAATCAGCTCAGCATCAGTTAGATTTTAACACACTTCTAGATTTTCACTCTAAAATAATAAAAACTGCTACAGAAATAATGAGAAAACCTCAATTTTACAAAATTTCTAACACTGGCTTTCTTGCTATGTGATTCAAAAATCATGCCTCCCACAGGGAGGAAGTCCTGTTAAATTAAGGATTCTGGTTAATTAAGGTTTTACTTCATTTGTTTAACACATTAAGCGCCCTGTCAGTCACCGGTGAATGACACTATACTTTCCTTCCAGAAGACAAAACAGGCTGGGCGTTTAACGTGTTAAAAAAAAACGTTTAGCCCTAGGTGGTTTGGCTCACTGGGTAGAGCTTCGGCCTGCGGACTCAAGGGTCCCACCAGGTTTGATTCCGGTCAAGGGCACATGCTGGGTTGCGAGCTGGATCCCCAGTTGAGGGCGTGCAGGAGACAGCCGATCAACGATTCTCTCTCATCATTGAAGTTTCTGTCTCTCTCACCCTCTCTCTTCCTCTCTGAAATTAATATAAAAAAATAAAATAAAATAAAATAAACACGTTTAACCCACACCAGGATTTTATTGGCAGACGTAATACTATGCCAATTTTAAAACACATTGAACGTATTTTTTTTCCTTTATTCACCATCCCCCTTCAACTGAAAAAAAAACCAATAGTCAGGTGAGGAAGATAAGATGAGTGTCACTGGTAGGATGAGTTTTCTGAAGCCTAGACTTTGAGAGAAACTCGCTCTCACCCACACTGTCTCATGGGCAACTCCCTGTTGGCCTCACTCACCAAGGCTCCTGGGCAGGCAGAGGAAGGCAGAACAGGAAGTGCCGTCCACAGATCCCAGGACTATATAAGGTAGGCTGTGAGCACTCTTTCTTCTGGGTTGCCTAACTTCTCCTTGTAACTAACAGGGTTTTGCCAGTTGTCCTGGGTAGTTTTCGGATTTATTTGGCTTTTACTTATTTCCAAGTTTGCAATGGTTTTAAGAAATGGTTTGGTAAAATGAGTAGGCAAAGACATTCATGAATATTTTCCTTTTCTTGGTTCCATTTTGAAACCAGGGGAAACGTAAATTTAAAAAAACATGAACACAATTCACAGCATGAGTAAACCATTGTTCAACCTCTACATACACATCATTGTTTTTAAAACTAGGTGCAAGCACGGAGATGGTAGACGGAAATTTTTAAATGGGGGATTTTAGGAAGCAGTAAATGTCCTACACTTTTCATAGACTCTGTAATTACCATTGAATAATTACAAGTTGACTATTGCTTCATTTAATTAAAGGCTTTTTTTTTTCTGGTGTGGAGGAAAAAATGCATTCTTGCTCTCACGGGATAACCTCACCAACATCAGACTTGTCAGACCCTCTCTCTCAATGTCCCACATGGAACACAGTGAGTTCCACAGAGCACTGCATTAGATAAAAGGTTATCAACCTTCAGTGAACATCAGAATCAACCAGAGGGCTTGTTAAAACACGGATTGCAGACCCACCCCCAAAGTTTGAGTCAGGAGATCTGATGTTGAACAAGTTTCTAGGTGATTCTGAGGACTACAAGAGAATACACTCTTTCTGGGCTGCATGTTTCACTTTAGGTTTACCCAAACA